CTAGGACAACAGAGACTAAAAACACTGGCTTTTTTCTGTCTGTGTCTGGATATACATTAAGTCTGCAGTCAAAAAAGCTGAGGTAAACATGTGAGTATAGACCTAAAGGTCAAGAGCTTTTCCAAAATCTTGCTCAATTAGTGAATTAGGGCTGTTCTTAAAACCGAAGAGGGCTCCACCACGTTACAGGTGGGTTCTACCTGATAATAAGGCAAAGGAGTGTAGCTGGGCTTGTTGTGCTGGTAAATTTCACACTACTGCTCCCCCCGACCCCTGCCCCTCCACCACCGCACCTTGCATCCTTCAGTGCATCAGTCACTTACTGACCTTGTCACAGCTGCTTGTTAATAATTTATTTCTTCGTCTCTCAAATACAGCTCTACTACATCCATGAGCTTTCTGTGTCCACAGCCTCGGGTTCATTAATATTGCATGGTGATTTTGGTGGGGTTATCGAAAGCTCCTCCCTGCATTTCAACATCTCAACTGTTCGTGGTTAAAAACAGCAGGAAGGAGGAGGAAAGGATAGAGGTGAGATCCTGGAATGGGAAAAGGAAAAATGGTTTAGGAGTGAATAGAGATGGAGGACAAATAACCTTAACAGGGGGATGAGGGAGGATGTATATACAGTATACTGTTTCACTAAAAGGGAGAGGTAGAATGATGCTGAGAAAGCTGGAGAGAAGCAGCTGAAAATAAAGGCAGAAAGTCCTTGGAGGGAAAAGGTCACAAGCTTTTTCCACAGCTGCTCTGAGGGCAGTTTTATAAGGAAAATTTCACAGTGCAATAGCAATTTTCAAAATAGGCAGCAATGCACACTGAATGTGACAAAACCACATAATGGAAATGTTATTGAAATGGCACACACACACTCACACTGGCCTGAGTGACGCAGAAAGGTACTGATTTGAATGCAGCTGAAAAATACCAAGTTTATTTTCAAAGATATAAAGCAACTTTAGAGAAGGATGAGAGGATTTTTTAACTGAAATATCTGACTATCTGCCCTTTGGGAGAATTAGACGGAATAAGATTGTAAGTGATATAAATCCATGTGGTGCTGACATAAGAACCATTTATTTCTGCCCCTCACTGAGAGGCAGATGACAGATGATGTGTTTGATTGGAAGCCAATGGTGCAAGTCAAATTCAATCATATCCAATGAGTCAAAAATCACTGTGTTAATTATTGGGCAGCAGAGACAGTGTTTTATTCACAGTCACTGTGACAAGCCGGGGAGGTAAGGCTGGGTCAGTGCAGTGAACAGAGGCTTCCTAAGGAATTTTAAAGTTTCAGATATGGCAGCAACGTTGACATGCAGAAAATAATATCATAACAATGATCAGCTCCACCTGTCTGCTCTGGTGTGCAGCTGAGCTGTAAGTCTCTGACAGGATACTGTGCTTGTCACACTTTATTACTGTTTTTTTTTTGTTTTTTTTTTTTACTTTACTGCAGTGTTCAAGAATTCCACATTTATTCCCCCAGAGCAGATTCCTCCCACGTCAGGTGGAATCCAAGCTACACACTAAATATAACCTATCTGTGCTTATTGGCCCCAAGACTTTTAAACCCACCTGTGCTTTGCTGAGGTCAAACAACCAGACTATTAGCTCCTAAATTCACCTCCTACAGTACAAACAATTGACTGATTTTCTTTTTTCTTTTTGGATTTGTTAAGAGGCCTTAACAACAAAATCATTAACTGATAGAGGAATAAGAAGGAAAAAAAAGAGGGGGGGATTATTGGGTGATTGTAAGAGGACGGTGTATCAGTGTACAGTGGAGGGTGAAGGTGCAAAAAGGCTCAGGCAGCAAAGAGCATCCAGGGATCAGTGAACAGACCTCATCAGCTAAAAAGGCGTCTGCAGAGACGAGCTACAGCATGTGGGCTGCCTAGACGTATGATGTGTGTGTGTGTGGCCGTAAATGAAAACACAGAGAGAATAAACTTTGACCTTTGTGTCTTCTCATGTGTGAATTCTGTTAAATGAAAGCACAAACTCTACTCTTCTATAAGATACGTGTACACACTATCTCTGCAGCCTTTTGTTTAAAAAAGAAAACCAAATGAAGGCGTTCCCAGAGACAGTTGAAAACCAAATGAAGGCGTTCCCAGAGAAAGATGAACGATCCTCTCTCAGAAATGTAGATGAACATGTGCAGAAAACATGCAAATAGAGAAATCATATCATCCCACTCTCAGACTTCATACAGCTGCGTACATTTATAATAACAGTGCTGGGAGCCACTGTATGCACGAGTGTGACAGCCCTATAATTCAAGGGATGGTTCTCTGGATGGCTCTTTACAGCTGGGAGTTTACACGTGAACATGTGCACAGATTCAAGTTTACTGTGGATACATTTTTACTCATTTTTAGTTGTGATTATCAACAGAATGCCTGAATAGCAATGTTATAAGAGTAGTATAGCCTCAATTTAACAAAAATAACCATGACTTCGTTGATAAGGAAGAACAACAAGCTGGACGAGCCTTGTTGGGACCGGACATTTTAAATCTCTGGAGATGTGGACAATGAGAGGAAAATGTGCCAGACTTCACGTTTGGTAGTTTTCCCTTAAACTCAGCCTACCTCAATCCTGCCGGTGTCTGGCTGGAAGCCTCTGGCTGGGTCTTCAGTTGTCACTCGGCACTGGATTGCACAGCCGTTCACTCTGATTTTGTCCTGCTTCAGGCCCAGCTCCTGCAGGCTGCGACCTTCACACACACGTAGCTGGGCGTGCACCAGGTCCACACTGTAACAGAGTAACAGTCAGCTGATGAGAGAATATCAATTTACTTGTTCCACATGCTTTCATTACACAGTGTTCATTTTTCCATGCCCCTGTGTTTTTTCAAACCAGATTTATACAAAAGAGAGCTTTTCTTCAGCCAGTTATTCTGAATATACTTTGCTCTCTTTGACAGTTTTCTGTAGCCCACAAACAAAACTAAAAATGTCATTACCAGGTAATGACATTCTAGAGAAGGAAATCAAATATAAACTGTTGTCATTACCTGGACTAGAGAAGGAAATCAAATATAAACTGTAACTAATTTTATGAAACAATTTTAAAAAGTTTAGCCAAATGATTAAATACATTTTTTGAGATTTCATCTATAGTGAGAGAAGAGTCAAAAGTCTCAGAAGTGTCTCACAGTGTAGCTGTGTGTGACATTATTTTCAGCTTGCAACAAAGAACAATGAGACTGTTTATAAAATATTAACATCTTAATCTATTCTTGGCCTGGCATCAGGATGGGGGGAAGAGGAGGAGAGCGGGGGTGTTGTTGAAAATCTCACCAGTTTCAGTTTGGGGAACTGAAGCTGCAAAGCATCAGTGGGAAACAGCACAATGCAGCCATTAGGCAAAAGCAAGTAGAAAGTCGATGATGGTTAAATCAGAAGTACTCAGTTTAAATGCAGTACTTCAAATCACAGAGTATAGTAACGAAGTGGATATATAGCAATATTGGTTAGATGTTCTGTTAGAAAATAAAAAATAAAAAAATTCTTGTCATTTAGTCAATATGGCTTCAGAGTCAAAGACAGTTCACCAAACATTGACACGATTTATCAATCTTTTGTTTTCAGTTTTACAGTAGTACAAACATTCATCTTTACCTCATTTGTTTGCCAGAATTTGTGAAATTTGTGTTAAAGATTTCTTACATTTGCTCTTCAAAAGATGTGTTTAAATTTAATAACAAATGACTCACATGCACATACACAGAGATGTATATTATGCTTCTATTCAGTAATTACTGTTGTATTTGGCTATTCAAATTCAAATCATGGAGGGAAAGTTATTCCCTTCCACAACTGTGAGTTATAGAGCCTCGTATTAAATTTTGGCTCATCTTCAAGTATTTATTCAAACATTAAGGTCAAACGAGACCTTCCAGGTTAAGCTTCGTGACCTTGCAGTTTATGCACAGCCAAAATGTAATGTAAGTATTCAGTCTTTCTGTGTTTACTGGACACATTCATATGCTGCGGCTGACCCACACAGTAGGTGGTGATAAAAACATCTTGAAAAAAAAAAAGTCCCTGTCCGCAATTGCAGCAGAGCTCCTGCCAAACATAACCACATTCAGGTGAGTGGGATTTGTCTCTGCCTTGAAGAGGGGATAAAAACACAGAAGGCAGACACACAAGCGGGCAGACAAGCCGACGTGTTGGACACCAGCATTGGATTCATTGTCTTTATTGTCTCAATTAGCCAGGATCCACATTCTGGCCAAACAGAAGGACAATTACGCATCAGCCTGGTGTGAAATGTGCTTTTCAGTGGAAAAAGCCGATTCACTCTCGATAACTGGAACAACAACTGACATTGTGTTTTCTTCCAGGTTCCATGAATACTTCAGTCCGTTTTTAATTAGATGTCTCTCATATGTCTTGAAATAAGGGCTGTCAAAATTGAAATCAATTTGTAATCAGTTTACAAATTGTAAAAATATTGGTTGGCCTTTGTCATTTACACACTGAATCGAGAAGTGACACAACAACATATGAATATGCATAGTCAAAGAATATGGATTACATTTAAAAAAAAAAAGTATATTTACAAGAACAGAAAGCCTTTTTTCACACGTTAAAAATATCTGACGAACAAAGCAGAGAAATGTGAGAGTCAAACTCTAGGCGTTCGTGCACGGGTTCTTTTATTACATATAAATCAAGTTTGGCAAAAAGTTTTTTGTTTCCTCTCACATAATTCCACTACATGGAGGCAACACTGATTGAATGAGGACCCTGGAGGGTTGATGGAATTTATTGTATACTAATTTGATTCTGACAAATTAAAGAGCCTGCAGCAACATCTGTCCCTCGTGCAGAGTTTCAGAATGAAAGTCTCTTCTTTCAAGTTCCACAAAAAGGCCTGACTACACAGACAGACTACAAGACTAAGAGAGTGAGAGGGAACAAATACCATAGACATGAATAGTCTACATGTAACAGCAATAACCTAAAGATACTGTCTATGCTTTCAAACCTGTGGCCATGTTGGAGCTCATTTACACAAACACAAATGTCACTTGGAGCAACTCATAAAGGCAAAAACAGCAGCATCTGATAATGTTAAAAATGTAATGACAGCAGGGAATCAAACCTCCTTCAACACTCACATACATTCACATACATTACTATGTATGAGAATGGCCATTCAGTTAGCAGACGAAAGAGTAAAATCTGTTAATCTGTATTCACTGCCTCCAAGGCACAAATTCATTTACGTTACAAGAACTCTCCAAACAACGACAAACAGACATAAAAAGTTTTAGCAAAACAAATCTAGAACTCATGATCCTGTCTTAACATATACATATATGCATATACACATATAC